AGGAGAAACAAATGAAGTTACTCAAAAACTGGGTATTCATCAAGGTACAGTAAAAAATATATAACAAATGTTTTGGAGTTAACACAGATTTAGAAAGGCATCTATAGCTGTATGCATTCACGATAAACAGAAAGTAACCTCCTTCAAGCTATAATGTATTGCATATATTTAACCCATATTTTATGCTAGTTTACACTTGAAATGAATACCTTATGTATGTAAAAGTAAAGTAAAAATACAATGTAGAGAGTTTACTGTTACAAACATAGCCATTAAGTTTGCAAAAATAAATATAATGCTCTCTTTTATCTTATTTAATAAGTGAATGAACAGAGAGATGCAGCAGAGTATTTAGAGAAGATCTTGACCACGGCCAGCCAAGAGGCAGCAAAGGTAACTTACTGAAGAAATTGGCTTTTGCTCAATATAGAAAAAGAAAAAGAGACTGCAACTGATCTATTACAATTTTGTTTTTGTTTTTTTTCTATTAAATAAAACGTGCAGATATTTGAAGTGCAGCTCATCGACCGGACCCTCTGTTGGGATTGTAAAGAAAACACAGAGGAAGAAAAGTCTTTTTGGAATCTTCCACTTCCACTGAAGCATTCCTCTGATGAACACTATGAAAACTATGATGTGGTGAGTATTAAACAATGAGTCCACACTAAATAGAATGGAATATCCTTTATATTCCCTCTGGTGAAATTAACATGTCTCAGCAGCAAGTGAAAAACATATGGAAACATGCAGATAGATACAAAAAAGGGTAAAAAAAAATAAAAATAAATAAGAGTGCACAGTAAGGTCAAATTTACAAATGTATTCATATAAAGTTATCTGTTGTTAAAATAGCTTATTCAGGAAATGTAATGTGTCTAACTGAGCTGGAAGATCTTATGCACCATTTTTAATGTATATTTATTCATAAAAATACCAATAGACTATATGAATAAAAAAATGTGTGCAAAATCAGAAAAGATGTAAAAGCTTATTGGATTTTTCTGGTTCACTAATGGTTATTAAGTCTGATAACTGCTGCTAATCCAAGAGGTGAAATTGTAATTTGACAGGAATCTGAATGTGTTGAAAGAATTCTTTTGTTGAGAGCCATTGCTTGTATGTTTAAGAATTAAACAGTGTTGTGCAGAAAGAATGACTCAAAGCCTTTTTTAGAGGGAAGCCATCAAGGAATTTTTCAAAGACTCGCATTTTACTGACGACAACCAGCTGTACTGTGAGAAGTGTGAAGATAAATGTGATGCTACTACTGTGAGTAACTTACCCACGTTCTCATTCCACAGTTTGTGAATTCAAATGGATAGACTCACACACACATGCACGCACACAACAAAAGTTGCAATTAGAGCGATTCAGTGATGAATGTGACAGTTCTTTGGTGCTTGGACCCCAGCAGAAGACATGGAAGCTGCAAATTGCGATGAGCCTGGATGATCATTGTGAGATTAGGATAAAATAAGTCTTCCCCTGGGATGCAGACACTGGCGGTAGAGTCGAGGCCAGAGGAGAAGGAAGCCAGAAGGAGCTTGAACACATAATGGAGAAGATAGGGTTGAGAACTCCACTGAGAGCAAAAATCTGAAAAATATCATAATTTAAAAAAGATGTAAAAATGTGCTTGTTAGGTTTTGTAACTTCACTGTCTGTGGTACTTTGTGTTTTTTAGAAATGTGCAGTAAAACATCATCCAGAGGTTTTGATGTTGCTGCTAAAGAGATTTGAGTTCAACTACTATCAAATGTCTCTTGTCAAAAACACAT